TTTTTACTACCCCCTCGCCCCACGGCGGGGTCGTCCTACTTGTGCCCCCCCCCCCCCCCCCCACCTGTGCACTCCCATTCTCTCTCTCAAATAAATAAATTAATAATCTTAAAAAAAAAGAAGAAGAAGAAGAATGTCTTTTGGCTGTGAAGATGACTCTGCTGACTGAACTGGTTTTCCAGTGTGCTATAGCAAAGCGTGCACCAGACCAAAAGTCAGGAACAACTTAAAGAAGTCGCAGTTAAGTAAGATAATTAAAGTAATACTGAATGCTGTCTATGGTAACTTCCACTTCTAAAATTAAACTACTTAGACTTCTTGTGGCTGATTTTTGGAAAAGGTTAGCTGGAAATGGATGTTTCCACATGGAAAATCAGAATCAGAGTTGTCCTTAAAGAGATGAACAAACAGCAACCCCAGGTCCAGAGGGGCACATCTATGGTGCCTAGCTTCACAGTTTTCTAATTTCAGAAACCAGAAAGCAAGCATGTTAATGGCGACCAAAAAAAAAATCTCAGTTACTCACTGAAGTGTACATAGAGTACCTGAGCTGTATGATTTCTGCCAGTCCTCCCACTACCGAAGGGAGGTGGGTCCACATGCACAGGTGACCCTCAGGGCAAATCTATCTTGGGATGGTGGAGGGCACAAAATGGAACCCAGAAGCAAATGAAACACTTAAGATGTTCTAAGTGCTCCCTAAGTGCTAATTAGTTTGTGTATCCCTCCTGTGCTACCATATCCCTACAACGCACTGCTACCCCCACTCAACCTCATCTCTACCACAGCTCCCTGGTTCCTGTTCTTCCAGTATCCACCTCAGACACTCATCTAGGGCTGAACCCCAGGGTTAAAGCACTCACCACACGCAAATCCTTCAACCCCCTTCCCCTCAACGTGACCCCCAGACCTTCTCTGACCCAAATGGATCAAGTGTGCTACATTAAGGTGAGATGCCACAGTTTGTACTAGTTGTGCACTTTCTGAAAATTTAGACCTTTTTTTCTTAAAAAGAATCCTTTTATATGATGAGAGAAACTTTTTTAATATTGTTTATTGTCCAATAAATAAAATTTTTTTAATGCTGTCCATATTTCTTTGATGTTCTCTTTTCAAAATTGGCCTCAAGAAAGCATAGTGTACTAATCAAACTCAATTTCCATGACATTTCTAAGTATATTTTTGAACTAAATAAGGGATAAAGTGTGAAACAAATCACAAATCAATTCCTATTACAGTACTTTTGACTTAATAAACCCTCAATAAAAACAAGCCAATGAAAGAATTTTGAGGCAATCATGTTGAACATGACCAGAGACGGTCCATGACACCTGCTTCACCTTTGATAGATGCCATTGATATATGGCCCCTAGGAGTGCTATGAACAAATATACAAAAATATAAAACTACAAAATGTTCACTTGTTGGCCTTACTAATTAACTCATTTGACAAGTATTTATTGAGAACCTGCTATGTCTCGGGCATTGTTCTCAGCATTAGGAATGCTGTGGTGAACAAGACAGGGCCCATGCTCAAGGGTAACACACAGGGGAAAATAAGATAACTGGGTAGGACAAGAAACATGCTCCATTGAGATATACATCCTGCTGACTCCTTTGTAAAACAAAAGAGAAGATTGGTCTCAAGTTAAGTACAAAATGATGTATAAACAGCGTTCTATAATGTTGAAAAAATCACCGATATAAACATCATGTGTTAAATCTGTTCATGGATTATGAAATGTTACCCACTTCTTAAAAGGACCTAGA